CTTATCTCAAACCTTGAGAAGACTTAAAAAAACCATGATTCCTCCCATTAATGATAACAAAAAAGAAATAGTTCTCAATACTAATTTTAATAAGTTGAATAAAAGATTGATTAAAACCAAATAAAGATAAAACATTATATAAGAAATTCCAATTCAAATTATCATAAGCATTTGTAATATCAAGATTAAAAATAATATTACCACCTTTCACCTTGGAATTGATATCATGAGTGATCTCTTAGGCAAGGAGAACAATATCAAAGATACTCCTGCATTTTACAAAGCCAGTTTTATATAAAGAGATAATTCTAGGCAAAATATATACCAGCCTAGAAGCAAAAATTTTAAAGATAAGTTTATTAAAGAAAGAACATAGACTAATAGGTCTAAAATCATTCTAATTTTTGGAAACATCCTTTTTAGGAATTAAAACAATTTTAGTAGAAGAGAAAAATTTTGGATAAGGGCTGCCAGCAAAGAAATCATTAACCGCTTCCAAAGCATCCAACTTGATTAAATTCCAAGTTTTGATAAAGAATTTAGTGGTAAAGCCATCGGGACCAGTAGAAAAATCACTATTCATATCATTAATAATATTCCAAACTTCCCCTCAGATGGAATTTTCACAAGCATTTGGTTGTCACAATTAGTAATTCAATGAGGGACAATAAAAGGATTAGAAATAGGAATAGCACTAACTTTATTATTAAAGATATTTTTAAAATGATCCACCCCAGAATTAATAAAAGTATCCTCATTCTCTAAAGTCCCCCCATCATTACTCACCATTTTAAAAATAGGATTTCACATCTTCTTCTTATTAGCCATCGCATGAAAGTACTTAGTATTTCAATCCCCTTCCAAAATAATTTTGGAAGTAGCTTTCTATTTCCAATAAATTTCCTTCTAGTCTTACAATTGAAAAAGCTTAATTTTAGCATTATTAAGAGCAGACAGGTTATTAAAATTAGGATTATTCATATACACCTTATCTAACTTAATCACCTCATTTTCAGCCTCTTTGATATTAGTAAAAATGTTTCTAAAAACATTTTTATTCCACCATATTAAAAATTGTTTCAATCTACTTAGCTTGGCCCAAAGCCTAGGCATACCCAAATATCATTATTCAGAGCAACAGAGGTAGTCTAGTTATTATGAATCACATTCATAAAATCATGTTGAGACTATCACATGTTTTGAAATTTATAAGCAGAAACAACATGAGTCCTATTAGCATTAATAGACAAATGTAAAGGAGCATGGTTAGAAGCAATTCTTCTCAAATGTTCCACATGAGTCATAGGAAATTCCATAATCCAATAATTATTAAATAAAATCCTTTCCAATCTTTGCCATAAGTTGCCCCTACTCCAAGTAAAAGCACCCAAAACAAAACCAATATCATGTAAATTGCAATCACTAATCATAGAGTTGAAGTCCTACATGGCCTTAATCTTAGGAGAACTCCACCCCCCCCCCCCCCCCCCCCCCCCCCCCCCCCCCCCCCCCCCCCCCCCCCCCCCCC